GAGAGAGAGGGAGAGAGAGAGAAAGGAGCTGTGCGAGCAGCAATACGCTGCGGAAAGGCACACAGAACAGGTGTGAGCCTTCAGATGAGGCAGGGGGGTTCTAGTTTAGTTTGGTTATGGGGGTCAACGGTGTCCCGAAGCCTGCCTCATCATGTTCAGCAGTCTCACAGCCGACATGCACCAGGGCGCGTGCGCGCGCGAGGGGTGCGGGTAACCGTGTCCCTTTGGCTGTGTGGAAGAAGAAAGGAACTGTTGGTGCCCATTAAAGCCTCTAAACAGGGGCGTGCCTCTCGGCGCGGGGGGCTTAAAACGCCTCCTGGACCCCGAAGCCCGAAGCGAAGCGAAGCGAAGAGAGGGAGAGAAGGAGAAAGAGATGGATAAATGGAGTATAGAGAGTTGAGGCTGCACACAGATGGGGGAGGGAGCGATAGGCGGGCGGAGAAAGGTTCGTAGAAGTGGCATAGGTCGTTGTCCTAGCAATTACTGTGCACAGTAGTTTCCGGCTACGAAGCTGATTTAGCTCTTGGGCTAAGGTGTGAAGTGTTGCCTGAGTGTTTCGATTTTCCACCGGTCACTGCAATAATATATCCGATGTCCGTTGCGTCGATTAGGTCATTCAATCGCCTGAGGACTTGCACAACTTTCTCAGTGTTGCGTGATTTTTGTCATGGGATCGTGCTTTGGGGCACGTGCCTTTCTTTTCGGGGTCTCCCTGTGCCGATGACAACTTTGTAAGTTTCCGCCTGCAATTGTTTTTGCGTTCTTGTGTGCTGTTGTGTTTTTGAAATGTATTGTTGTTGTTGATTTGTTTTGTGTTTTTTCTCATGCCGTTATTTACAGTGTGTGTTTCCGTTATTTCAAGTTCATGTTTTTACATGTATGCCGTTGCATCGCTTTTGCGTTTCAGTTTTGTTAAATGCGTTTAAAGTCCGCAGTTGCCTGTTCTTTTTTGTGTGTTTCCGTGTGCTCCTATTTTTCTTCTCTGCGCCGCTGCCTTTTTTGCGGGTTTCCATTTGCCTGTTTTTCTGTGTTTCGTTTATCAACATCCCAACAGATAATTAGGATGCGGACGAGCTATTCTTAGCACTTCGGGAAGGCGGCCGCGACCGGTAGTGCGAGGCGGAAGAAGGCAGCCGTGGCAAGCGCCTTACAGGTTGACTTCAGTGCAGACCGAAACCGAAATTGGATCTCTTGTGTGTGCCTTGCATGTTGTTGCAGCTGTGCGATGTTATGCCGAGATGTGCTATGTGTGCCGTGGTTGGTGGCCCCAGGCACCAGAATCCAGTTGGCAGGTGGAGGAAGCTGAGGCACTGAGAGAAATCACCCGCCCATGACCTAAGAGAGCAGTGCAAGATAGCATATCAGGCTCAGCCGTCCTTGCCAGCTCCGCCAATCTCACCGGCAGCACAGGCACAACGCTACCTGTTTTATCTACATGAGTTCTACATGCAAATGTGGGTTACGTCATATGACCCAGATGAGCGCACAGCCAATTCGGCGCAGAAAGCCTTCCATCTTTCGCATGTTCTTGTCCCCAGGATAAGCAGGCTGGCACTCCAGCAGTAGGACAAGCAAAGTTTGGCGTAGGACACCTTGGCAGAATCTGGCGTGCTACGACGAAGTCCCAGTTTCAACAAGTGGCAATTTCGAGCAGCATTGTGCGAACTTGGTAGTTTGGCTAGCTTCAACTGCTTCTCGGGGTAAAACCCTTCTCTTGCACCTCCATCGAGTCCGTCCGCGGGCCAAATGCTGTGGAAGAGCCTGGGCTGAAATGCCTTTGGTCGCAGTCGGAGCTGTGCCGCAGGCATCTCCTGCATGGCAAACATCAACGAGCCAGGCCGAAGAAGTGGGAGGACTTTCATGATACTCGCTGTACTCGCACTGTATCGAGCAGGGCTTCGGCTTGGGTGCTGTCTTGAGAACGCCTTGCATCGGAGCTGAACTCGCTGATGTGCACAGGCATCGCTCCATCTGCCCATATCTCACGAGACAGGCTCATCACAGGCCGTTTCCGTCCGATGCAGAGCTTGTTGTCCCAAGCAGGACCCGTATGTACAGCGTCGCAGCCCCGCCCTAGAACAGAGAGACACCTGAATCCGGCCTTACAGCAGTTCGATCAGATCCAGCGGGCGGAAGTGCTGACGGCAGATATAGGCTAGAGCTTGATACACTCGTCTGGACACGGGAAGACAGCCGGAAACCTACTTTCAGTGGACCAGATTGAAGTTTCGTTGCGTTTTGTTTGTCGCAGACATCAAAGTCAACCTGGAAGCTGGAAGAGGCGGCGAGTGGGCAAGAACCGTACTTAGTGCACAGTGGGGTGGTGGCATCAGAGCGCGTCCGGTGATCACCAGTCCGAGATTTTTAGACCGGCTGCAGGCTGACATCTTCTCGCCACTTTCTCATACCATTGAGACCGAGAAGGCGGATACATCGGTGTTGTGTGTATTTTAGAGCGTGTGAGCTGCTGGAAATGCAAAGACTAAGAAGAGCAGACCCCTGGACTTTCCACGGCTTACCTTTTCGTGGGCATGGCTGCAGGCAGCAGACGACAATTCGCCCTTGTCAGAACCCGTGGTGCAGACTCTCCCGAAGGCGAGAAGGGGAATACGAAAGCCCTTTGCCTTTAATTCGTGCCGGTGATTTGTTTGGTGGTATCGAGATTCGGCTTATCTGACGGGGACCGCCTCACTGATGCTGGTGATTTTTGTGGATTCGGGCCTCGCATCCCCATAGACACCATGAGTCTCCGGTGAGTCGTTACAGTATTCGTGATTGCACTGGGATTTCAATCACGACCTGCCAATCCGCGCCAGGCACCGGCTTTCCCGTCAGACGTGGAGGTGTCAACGAGCACGCAGCCTCTTGGTTTTCATCCGCCAAGACCTGGTTCAAGTGCACGAGATGCGGTGGTTGCGTGCTTGCGAGCCGTGGGATGTGAGGCTGATGCTTCTGACTTGGGCCCGATGGGGCCGCAATGCCTGGCGAATCAAGCAGGAAGACCAGATCAAGCAGCTTCAGCACAGGTCTCGTACCGGAAAGCAATTGGGTTCAGCCAAGTGAGTACACTTGCGAATGCCAGTGGAGGCGCTTTCCTCGCACGCCCGCGCCGCCGCGAGAGCCCTTGTCCCCACAACCGACGCCACGGTCGACGCCGCGAGAGTCGCGTGAGGCGGAGACACCAGGCTCACGAAATTCGGGGGGCTCTGCCGTCGCAGGTGTCGCAAGTCGTAATGCATCGATTCTTGGACTTGGAGGCTCGTCTCCCGGGAGTTCCCCTGCCTCGTCCTCGCGGCCGCGGACGGGGGCGGCAGCGTGGAGAGCCGGTGGTGAGTTAGGCGCGCTTGACGTGCTTGAGCTTTGTGTTTCCTCTTGTGAGCCTTCTGGGCAGGCATGGGCACCACCGTCCACAGCCGGGAAGGGCGCGAGATCCGGGAAGGCCGCGACGACCGCGGCTTTGCCTTCGCGGAGTTGCGGGAGGCCCGCACACGCAGCAGCCATTTGCAAAATTTGCCATCAACAAGTCCTGGCTGCTCCCGCACGGTGAGCTCTGTAACCGGCAGGAGCAGCGGGATTCCATGGCTCAACAGGGTGCCAGGCCAGTGAGCAGAGCTGTCAGCAGATCTCTAGATCCAATGTGCCCATTATCATGACCATAGCTACACGCAAAAGTCGATGAGCTGGCGGTATGGAAACCACAGTGCTCGGTCAGCACAGCATTTCTCAAACAAATACAGGCTTCAGGGGCCTAAGGGCACGAGCCCTGAAGCCCGTCCTCATAAGAAGGGGCCAAACGGGTGTGAATCATTCTTTCTGTGATGCTCTACCGAGTTGCCGAACAGATCAACTGATCGTGGGAGGACGAAGCTCGTCCGTGCTTTGGGCGGAAGTGCCGCCACTGCTCACAGCACCGGCACTCCTGGCTTTGGCGTCGCACCTTGATGGCCAGAATCTGGTGCTGCGATGTTTGAAGATGAGTTGTCAGTGCAGGTTTTAGCGCTGACCTCGGGCACGTGTGGGCACCGTTTTCCCGATCCCTTCTTGAGGACACGCCGGGCTTCCCAGGGGCCAGTGGCGCGGCTTCTGCGGATGCATCGGTGGTGAGCAGTGGCGTGGCGAGTCCGGTCAAGGCCCTCTCAAAGACCAAAGTCCCAAAGGCCCCAAAGGCCCCAAAACAAAGCCTTCAGAGGGAGCTGCAGTCAGCGGAAGCCTTGGCCTTGGTGCCAGGGCGGCCAGATGTCCCCTTGGATCCTGGAGGCGGAGGCTCTCTGCGAGGCGCTCGCGGTGAGTCCTCGGAATGCAACTTGAGCCAAGCGGTGCCTGTTCCAAGACGTGACTTCTGTGTTGGAGGAAACCGACGAGGATGTTTCTCCAGGCGGAGGAGGCGCTGTTCTTTTCCAGAGTCTTCGAGTGGATTCGAGTCGAGTTCTGAAGTTCGAGCGGATTCTGAGCAGGTTGGAGCCTCGATCCTGGGCTCCCTTCTCAGTGGAATGGGGGGGTGAAGAGATATCGCTGGAAGTCGTGAAGCAGAGGTCTGACAACTTGCTCCTCAGCATCGAAGAGGAACTCCAGCCTCGCAAAGAGAAGGTCGCGGTGCCCACGCCCACGCAGCCCACGGAGCCAGCGGTGCAGGCGCTCCCAGAGCGCATTGTGCAACACGAAGACTCCACATGCATCACGTCTATCACGTCTAGAATCTAGAGTGCTTTCGATTGTCTTGATCCGACCAGAAAATGAAGCTTGCCCGCTTTACACCGGGCTACAGGGCATCCTTGTCAGTGTGGCGGATCATACTGGTAGCATATCCGCGCATTGCCCAAGTATCAGGCCAATGATGACCAGGTCTTGGACGAGGATGAGCTGGAACGGGTGGAGATGTCCGAAGCTCGTCCTTTGCCTTTCGCCGGTCGTTTACGGGATGCAGAAATGCCGAGGTTTGAGGAAAGCCCCAGCAAGAAGTCGGCACAGGCCGACCTTTTTCCAAAGCTCGGATTCGGGAAGCGATTCTGGTCTGGAGGAGCACAGTTCGCCTGCCCACGATGCCGCAAGAGCTGCTGAAGAGAAGCTGCCCGCCAAGGCCAGAGAAATGCGAAACCCATGCTTGTAATTCCAAGATATTCCAAGTAGTCGCTTCTTCGCTCATCCCTTCTGCATCATCTGCATAGATGGACCGTGTTTCTTGGCTACAGGACGATTCGGCGCATCAGCCCTTCGAGCCACTTATCGGCAGTCTTGTCCGTAAGCAGCACTGTCCAGAACCTCGGATCATCGCAGGTCTTGTCCTCCTCGGTGGTCCGCCTCTGCTTACTGAGGTACATGGTAGGCGAGAAGGTCTCCTACTACTCCAGCTCTCACGGCGCCTGGATGCCGGCTCGTATCGTGGAGCGGAAGAGCAGGAGCGGTCTGGTCCGAAGGCGGCGTTGAAAGCATGAGAATGCCGCAGCCGATTCCCGCAGCCAAAGTCTTCGGTTTCGCTTGTACCGCTGATGCTGTGCAAGGGCAGAGCAAGCTTCGGCAAGGGAGCAGTCGATTCCACAAAGCAGGACTATCTATGTCATCGACAAGCAGATGCGCGGCTGCTTGGCCAAGGCGACCATGTTTTGTTGAGAGCAGGGTGATGCAGGATTGACGGCAGCTTCAGCACTTTAGCATGATCTTGCCGATAGGTCCGTGCTTCGGAGCTGGTCTCCGAGAGGGAGGAGGAGAAAAACCCGGTTGGGACCCCGGCTGCGCCGCTTGCGGCTTGACAGCGCAAACCCACGAACTCTGCAGGTTCTGCGAGCCTTCGATGTCCTGGAAGTCCGTGCTCCCTCCAACCGACCCACGCGGCCGACGAGTGCGACGAGGCAAGGAGTCTCTCCGAAAGCCGACGTAGAGCTTCAATTCCGGATTCGTGTTTCGGATAGTCACCGTCAGGTTGCAAACGTAGGTGACACAGGACTGCAAAGTGCACTCCGCTCTCCGCCGCAGGCGCGGCTCGAGTCCGAAAGGTCGCCTGGGCCCCGGGACCGCGCAAGGCACTTTGGCCTTGTGTTCGGATGTGTTCTGTTGAAGATTCTGTTCTCCTGTCTCGTTGCCATCTGTTGTCTGTTGGGTGGCCTAATATGACAAGTGTCGAGGACGTAGCCGCTCAGGTTCGGGGTCAGGAACGAGAACGGGAGTAGAAGGATTCCAATTTGGCCTTGAAGCGTCGCCCCACAGAGGTTCTGGCAGCCAGTCACCGGCAGCACCCACCCGGGTGCCGGGCAACCGAGGCGGTGTATATGAGACGACCCGAAGCCCTCCCCATTTCCAAGCAGCTGTGTTCATTGCAGGGCGCATCGTGCGAGATGACTTCAGCGATGATTCTGATGACGGCTGAGCAGGAAGTACGTAGATGATAGGTAGCTTGCAAGACCATGCGCCGTGAGTCTGTGGGACAGTATGTGCACCTCCAAGTAGGCCTGTTCCATGGGTGCACCATGGTGCACCGTAACCTTGATACAACTCCAGACAATGACAGGCAACTGTGTAAGGCTAGTCAGCACCTTAGACTGCGGCCTTGCAGTTGTCAACTGCATCAAGACCAGCCCTCCCAGATTTTGCAACTCCGGGGTGTTGGTACTGGGATGTACGGGAGTCAGCGCCTGTTGCACAGACCAGGGTTTGTAGGGAGCTGGGGATGTGGTGAAGGGTGTGGTGGGGATGTGATGGGGATGTGGTGGGGGGCGTGGGATGGGGGGCGAGATGTAGTTGGGGCAGAAGAGGGTGTTTGGTGGTAGTGGCAGTGGTAGTGTCAGGGGTGGTAATGGAACCGCCAATTTCAGTGCAGTGGTAGTAGAGAAGTGATCGTGGTAGCTGAATTCAAGAGCTGACGAAATGAAACCATTCGCCCAATAAGGTAATCCCATAAAGGCTGTCCGTGCAGGCTTCCTCCCAGGCCACTCTCGGCTCAACACCTGGGGTCCGGGGGTGGCCGGGGGGGGGGGGGCTGTGAAGGTGTAACCGCACAACGCAGCCTCTTCATCGCATAAGTCTTGAGCCTGCACACTCCTGTCACCACAGATGGCATGCAGCTGCCTCAGGAGACTTAGTAAGCACCGCCGTTTATGATACAGTACTCAAATGTTTGACTCGCGTACTGAGTCTCCTGAACCTTAAAGAAGACGCTTCTGCTTTTAATGTCTTTGGAGGGCCAGCCTAGTTGGCCATTTCCATGCAATCAAAGTTGACCCTCGGCTGAGGAACAGGCCAGGATCGCTTTGAAGAATTCAAGGTGCCGCAACTCTGGTTCTTGCTCTCGGTGTTCCAATAATAAGAGCTTAGAGGTGATCATTAGCTTGGAATCCTCGATTGCTTGGCTTCACTGGTAATTGTGTGCTGTGTAGGAGTGTGCTTCATAGCTGCTGGAGCTCCATACAGATCCTTTAAGGATGACTGGCGCTCAGTGCAAGAAAAGCGGATGCGTCTCAGAGGGCAGGTCGGACTCCGCCAGCCACGGATGGGTAAGACTTGGGGGGGAGAGGTAGGCTGGGCGCAGGATGACGGGATGATGTTAAAATGAGGGGAGGGCGCGTGCAAACAATACGGTTTTTGCACATCTTTCGTTGGTCCCGACGTGGGGGAACCACGGTGTTGGGGTTTTGGTATGAGTCGGTTCTCAGCGTCCTGTCGGAAGCTTCTCAGCCTTAACGTCGCACTCCAGGCTTCAACAGCCGTCCATATGGGCTGTGGGTTCAAGCCGCCGAGCCGCCGTTGCCGATGACATGGTGACGCCAAGGTACGTGAAGGGACAGTGCGGCAGAGTTTTCGTCATGAGAGACTGGTTGAGGCCGCTCCAGCCGGCAGTGCTGCGGAAGCGAATCCTTTGGCTTCCCGATTCCGTCAGGGTCACAGCGGTTAGCTAACAAATCAATCAATTAGTGCACTATTCGTGCCTATTGCCATGAATCCATCAGGATGACGACGTGGAGATCCTCTGCGTCAAGGGGCCGCGAATCGAGATAGTTGCCTGGCCGCAGACCACAGCCATGTTTCTTGCGGACACAGCAATTTCCCGGGATGCACAAGTGCTTGCCCCAGTCCATCTATGATGGCAACTTGACGAAGTAGCCCGAAGAAAAGCAGACCTGTCCAGGACCTGGTGACGCCTCCACGCAGTGCTGCTGTGCATGCCGCGCCTCCACCGGCTGTGCCGGAAGCGTCACAGCAGCACATGGACGGGGCTGCTGGAGAGCAGTGAAAGTTCGTTTATTGCGGCCAGCATGGGCTTATATGACTGCAGCATCTAACGTCTTCGGCCGAGATCTGCAACGCAGGATCCCGAACAACATGTACCGTACGTCACGCTCCGCAAATTTTCATGCCAGGTCGGGGCAGATGCTGTCAGCCTGAGCCCAAAGGCTTGGAAGCCCGTGCATTTGCGAGCGTAGTGGACGGTTCTCCCTCCCTTGAGATGTCGCTCTACAAGCTTCCCCCTTTTCAGAAGAAAGACTAGGGCACGTTTGGCTCCACTCAGCCTGCTCGACGAAACAGGCATGCGCTGCCAGTTTGTCAGATTTAGTATCCATGCAAGACCCTGCAACGATGCACTGCGGCCGGGTGGCCTGAATCTGAATTGCAGTACCGTCGCAGGTGAAGGCAGAGAAGCCGGAAGAGGTGGAGCTTCGCGGGGTGAAGCGGGAAGTGACTCAGCCTACTCAGCCTACGCGGAGCAACACCGTAAAGCTCGCGTAAACAATAAGGCCATTGGATCCTGCTAAAAGCTCAACGGACGCCCGAGACTGGGGCTCTTGCAGACCCTTCCTTGCATCTGAGGTTGACAGCCCGCCGTGCACGCCACCCCGCAAAGTGCCAGCGAGCTTGGCCATGTTCCCCTTCAGGACCCATGCCAGGGCTTGAGGCTAGGGCCGGGCTAGCTAGGGAGCGGAAGGACGCCGCCACGCCTGCGACGCGGCTTTCAGCTCCGTGGCTACCTCCAGGCCAGGCAATTCCGGGCAGGGTCGAAGCCAGGAGGCCCCAGCAGGTTTCATCCTTTGCCCGAGTCGACGCATCTCTGCTTAGCCCCCCAGCCCAGACTGTGACGAGGCCCGCACATGCGATCTCCAGATGCGTGAGCGCTTGCGGTCGTGTCGCCCCAAGCCGTCTTGCGGAGGCCTCTTGTGGGGTCCAACGGCCGAGTCAGTCCTTGAAGACTTGACATTCGTTTTCACGACAGTCTGTGGTTCATGTTCAACATAATTGATACCTGCACTGAGGCTGCTGTGTCGTGGCTGGCCGAGTTCGGGTCTTAGTAAGTGGAGTCCCCTTGCTGAGCTTGTTTGTTCAAGAGGCTTTCCGGTCGAGTAGGACCTGCCGTTTGCCAGATGTTGCACAGGGCGTGCAACAGCGCGCTGCTCGCGGCTCCAGTTGGTTCCGTTCGCAGGTCCCAGCCCCAGCGAGGCCGCAACGCGCGAGTCCATCTCCGAGCTTCTGGGCCCGGTGCCCCAAACTCTCCAAGGTCCCGAGTTGCGGCGGGAGAGCTGTTGAAGCTTCAAGTCTTCTTCAACTTGGTTGGACGGTGTACTGTCAGGATTGTCTCAGCAATTGCCTTTGCATTCCTGCCTGGCCTGGATGATTACATATATTACATGTTCATGTCAGCTCCACTTCGATCCAACAGAGGCTTTAATGCCTCTCCTGGTTCGCTTTGGCTCTAATTTGCCACAGATTTCCAGACTTTCCTGAATCTCATCGTCAACTTTAACACTTGCGGCGCCCATCTCGCCCATGGGCTCCCTAGACACCCGAGGCCTTTGCCCATCCACTGGCAAGCCTGGCAAGCCCGGCGCTGTGAAGGCAGGGATCCGATGCGAAAGCCTGATAGACACACTAATCACTAATAAGCAGCAGATAGACTCGATAGAGATCGTCTCGCGTTGCCCGAGGCAGCCACCTACCTGGCCTGGGCACTAGCAGCAGCAGCCCCAAACGTGAGCACCAGACGAGCTGTGTGGGTGCTTGGGCAGCGCAGACCTCTGCTCTTCTACTCATTCTACGCCCGATATGCTCCGTGCTTGCCGAGGCCGACGGCCGAGGAGCGCGGGGGGCGCTCGTCGGAGCGGCGGTCCTGAGTGTCTACAGGCAGAGAAGCGAGGGACCTCTATAACACAGACGAACCTCCGGTATTGTCGTAAGCTGCTCTTTCGCCGGCTTTCTCGCTCTCTCTCTCCCCCTTCGTAGGTTTCGTCAGTACAGTGCAATAGCTGTTGCTGCCACGGTTAACTCCAGACAGATGCAGGGCAGGTCTGAAGTGTGGAGACGTGACGTAGCCGTTTCACTTCGCAGGTTGCAACCTCTCGCAAAGACACTCCGTAGCCGCGGTTATCACCTCCCTACCCGCCAGCACATTTTTTTAAATCCGACCTGGGCCATTAAGACGCCGCCAGAGCCATCGCCATGGCTGCAGACGAAGACCGTCCGGCCACAGCTGAAGAGGCCCTGCAAGGGAGTGATGATCTTCGACCACTCAGAATGCGACGTTCCAGGAGCCTGCGGAATGGCACTTCAAAGCCCCGGCTCTGGAAGCTTAGCAAAGTCTTACGGGTCAGCATTGACGTGTTCGGAGACCCTCCCTCAAGCAAACCAAGGAGGCTGAACTGGCGAAGCTTCGTGCCCAGCGTGAGGCACTGCGCCAAGAGGAAAGGCGCAGGGAGCTTTGACAGCCTCAACTCGCTGCATGATGAATGACTTCCTCAAGACTCAAGAGAAGCTTGTTTTTTTTCAGAGCTTTTCTTCTTGAAATGTGTGGAGGGTTTCAGTGCTTTGAGAAGCATGTTTATGACTCCGCCTGCCTTTGTCTGCGCCACCGTGCCACCTCAGCAGCGCAGTCGCCACTAGCATTCCGGATGCATGGCCAGCAATCATGAAGTTAGCCCGGAGAGGAGATTGCTGCCATCCGCCGGCGCGACGAAACCGTGGCGGAGGGGAACCGGCCAGGGGCTCGCGGCTTCGCTTTCCCTGCTGCCTCGCTTCCCTTCCGTGGCGAGGCGTGAGCAGGAGCTGCTGGACGGGGCCGCCGCGGCCGAGGCGCAGTGGCACAGCCTCTCTGTGCCGCTCCGCATCTGCGCCTCAGATGCCGAAGCCCGTCACTGCAGGGCGCTCGGGTCGCCGAGTTCGCGGCGCTGCGGGAGCGGATGGGCGAGGCCGCGGAAGTTCGCAGAGTTCCGGAGAGACATGTGGCGATGGCAGGTAAAGGACCAGGTGGAGGACTCGCCTTCTTGGTTTGGTCCTCCAGAACATACGCCATCCCAGACCCTGGAAGGGTCGGAGGCCGATCGTATGAAATTTTTATGTGAATCAGTTCCTCAAGGACACCTTGGCGCACGCCGTGACGACCTCAGTTGATTGAACCGGAATGTGCATTGCGGACGAGACCCCTTTTGAAATCGCTTCTCTGTGACGGCGGATCAGGAAGAGAAGGAGCTCGCCCTAGCAGAGGCCCGCACCAGAGCTTCAGGGACTTCTGGGCGAGGGCGAACGCTTCGAAGGTGCTCCGATCACCGGTGTTCTTGTTCTTGTGCTCATTTGTGCTCAGGAATGTCGAGGTCTCCGTGCTGAGCGCATCGAAACGGAGAAGGGGCTTCGCGAGGCAACGCCGCAATGACAGACTCAGCCGCACGGAACTTCTGGGGCAAAAAGGAAGCCGCGAAGCTCCGGGCGGTGACGCGGCGCACGGAGGAGCTGGAGGACGTCGTGATTGTTCTTCTGGAAGGTAGTCTTCGTTTCATTAGGCAGTGCAGAGAGCACGATGGCGCACGCCATGTTGTTCTGGGTGCAAGTGGAACTTTGACGGCAAGTTCTTGTCCGGATTGTTGATATGTTGCGTGCCTTGGTCGTTCGTCTTTGATTCCGAGGACGCCGAACGAGAGGAGCTTCGGCGCATGGCTGCGGCGCACGCAGCTGTTCGCGAGGCCGAGATGCTGCCTACTGTAGCGGTGTTGGTAGAGGATGTGCCATGATGTGCCTGCTGCAATGGGCGTGGAGACTTGCATGCGCTTGACAGCCACAGCCATGGGGGCGGACTCAGGAACCCCTAATTGTGGGCTTGTCTCGAAGTCGTAGAGCCGCAGCGAACTTGTGGCCTTGTCAAGGCAGCTCGGAAGAGGAGCAAGGAGCTGCAGGCCGAGAGGGAGACGGGCACTTTAGAAAGTGGGAGTGGGAGGTCATAACTCAGATACGGCGGGGCTGCGCGCTGCGGGGTTTCCTGCATTTTTTGGCAGACACTACCTGGAAGGAACAGACGGAGAAGAAAGCCAGGGAGATGAGGACACGTGAATTGCTGCGAACGGGCTGATCCAAAGCAAGCTCCCAGGACTGTGCAAAACATGAATCCTTGCAGGAATGACCTGGTGGTGGAGCTGGAAAAAGTCCATGCCGAACTCAAGAAGGCCGGCTACTACTATGCAACTGCAACGGCTTCGCTCGAGGATCGAGCCTGCGCGCATGGCTTCCTGCATATACGACTCCGCCTTTGCGACGCATGTGGGAGAGGGATGTATCCCCTACACTCCAGTCCTCACCATCCTCACCACAGCGCGGGTGGCATGGCTTGCGAGTGGCACGCTCCAGGCGAAGGAGGGCATCTACGAAGGTGTCCAAGCCGAGGTCGTCCGGCGGCAGCAGGCCAGGTCGGGGCTGGCGGGGCACGGCCGAGCAGAGCCGACAAGCTGACAGGTGGTGCTGACGGTAGACGACGAGATCAAGAGCATCGATAGAGCCGCACGCTTGAACAAGGCTTGTAGCTTTGCTGCTGTGCTCGTTTCTGCGCCTCGAGGTGGTGAACGAGAATTTGGAGGAGGCCAAAGGCCGCGCTCGCCACTTGGAGGCTGGAAGCGGCCGGCTTACGGAGCTCAGGGCTCGTTCCTGTCTCGCAGGACCGCACGCATCGGCTTATCCTGGAGACCCAGGCGAAATGAGGGATGCCCAGACTCGGAGTACCAGTAGCACTTGGAAATCTTGCACTCTTTTTGGGCGGCCTATTGCAGGCAAGAGACTTTGCTTTGGAAACGAAGCTTTGTGATCACGTTGCCCGAGCAGCCGGGAGCTTCAGAGCTCGACTACATCCCTGATCTTGTTGGAGCATTTCTTGAGGAGCAATTAGCTGCATGCAGCGGCATGCCTGTGGTGCCGTCAAGTCAGGTCGCTGCCCTGGAAGTGGCCTCAACGGTCAAGGCTGCGGAACTAAGACTCATCTTGACTGAGCGCACTTGACCGCTTAAGTAGCAACTCTGGCCCGCTTCACAAACCCAGTCTCCGAAGTCGTGATTGAACTTCTGTGTGACACGAGGCGGGCTCTGCCGTGGAGCACAAGGACGACCGACAGGGGGGTTCAAACGGCTGGAAACTCTGAGTAGCAGTCGTGCGTTGAGTCTGCAGGACGGTACCTGCTGGTTGGGTTTTATGGTTTTCCTGTGTTGATTCGGTGGGCAGAGTCCGTGCATGCTGATACCAGTTATCTGATAGCTGACAGACATGCCTTTTCCTGATTTTTCCCGAAGGATGCAGAGCGGCGCCGGCGGGGAACTGCGAAGGCCGCAGCCGTGGTGACGGATGTGACGTAACTGACAACTGTTTCGACTAACTGTTGCCAACTGGCCATTGGCGCTAACTAGCCGGTTTGGACTTTGGATATACATATATACATATATATATA